AATTAATAAATATATTTTATAAATTATATGTGTTATAATAAAAATTTAATTAGGTTAGAAGATTGATTTGCTTATTTTTATATAATTTTTAAGGTTATATATCAATAATGCTTAGTGATTATAGTAAAAACCTATGCTTAGAGCTACTAATAAAAAATATTTTTGGGACCTTACCTATATAAGTATTTTCCGGGGTCCTAATAAACTCCTTGTCTTTTCACTTTTGTGAAAAATGACAGATCATTTCCTAAATTTTTTTGTAATAATACAAGATAATAACACATAGGCCATCAACTTAAAAGAAATGCATAACAGCTACAAACCCATTTTTCAGTATTTGTTATATGAAATTTTCTTTATTTTCATGTTTCTCACATTTTTTCCATTCTTTTTTAAATTCTTTTTTCCATGAAGATTTCTCTCTTCCTTGTAAAATTTGGAATTGATATTGTTGATGATATGGAAGTAATCGATTAATAATAATAAAGACCATCAAATCTAATCTAGGTCTGAAGAATTTGGGCAAAAAATCCTGCTTAACTACCTTCCAATGGGATTCAATTAACATAGTTGTTTTAAATAAGCATAATTCATCAGAATTTGCTGCACGAGCCCATAAAATCCAATGGTCTTTTTGATACCAGTTCATCCACATATATGCCCAAATATTTCTAAGATCATATTTAATATAAAAATCATACATTTCTTTAACAGATATAATCCAAATTTCATCAGTTAAAAAATATTCATTACTATCATTTGGAATTAGAGAATGAAGATAAAAATGCTTTGTAATTAATTTTAATATATTTTCTCACAAATTTTTTGGGCAAACTTCAAAGGATTTTCTATTTTTTGGCTGCAATATTTTGTGATTATCTGAAATCAAAGATGCAAAGTTTTCATCAATAAAATCAACATTCAATTTAGCAAAACTAGCACTATAATTATTTGTTTTTGATAATGTGTTATCAGATAATCATTTTTTTACTGCTTTCTTTAAGTGCTAAAGACATAATTGAACTTTTATATTTGGCCAAACTTGTCATGCAGTACTAATTTGAGCCCAATCTTTATGTGTTAGAAAAAACCTAAGGTTTATAAGACCATTTTGTTTAAGACTTTGAAAAAATTCAGTAAGAATTACTGTTTGTATTCCATTACTTTTTTTGCATTATTTAAAAATAAATAAGCTATAGGATATTCACAACCATCAATTTGTCCAATTGCTGCATATAATTCAAATTCAAGTGTGTTTGTTTTATCTAAAAATACATAATATAATTAATATAATAAATATTAATAAAATATAATAAAAAATATTTTAAAAATAAATTATTCTTACAAGTTGCATCTACAATTACTTCTTTATTATTTTTTAATTGATCAAAAAAAAATGTAATAAATCCAAGATATTGAATTTCAGATGTAATATTCAACAGTAATTTGTTAAATTAAGCTTGTTCTAAGAGAATTTGTGCTGAAACAAATTGGTTATTATCTTTTTTGTATTGTTCTTGAATAGTCTATGTTCACCAATAATGGACTTATTTCTGTATAAATTCTGAATATATGGATTCAAGTGTTGAAAAAATATCTTTTAGTACTAAATGAATTTGTTAACAAATAGAATTTTTTACTTCATTTGAAACATTATATTTCTCAGGTCGAACATGTAGTAAATCATACTGCATTACAATGTTTGCTGTTTGAATACTATTATTAATCACAATCTTAATATATATATCCATTACACAAACATATTGTTTTTTAATATCCAAATTTTTATGTGGTTTTTTGGATAAATTTACAGATTGTAAACAATAAAATTTAAAAGTTGTAGTTGATTCAGATCTGACCCAAGAGTGTTGATTATTATGTTTACAAAGTCAAGAGTAGTAGTGCAAATTTGCCGGTTCTGGAACACCCAATATTTTAGCCTTTATAGCTCATATAGCGTCACCATTAAATTCCCCATAGTATCCGCTAATCAGCCATTTAAGCCCACTTAGTTATAGAGCCAAATTACCCTCAAAACTGCCCACAAAGTTAAATTTAACCATAAAATCTAACTATCGCTTCCTATCCTCCAATCTGTTTAGTAAGCCAATCCTGCATTCCTGCTATATAAAAAATCAAGTGCACTCTTCTGCTATTATTCTTAGCTTCCTATAGCCGCTAGGATAGCAAAAAGGTGTGTAAGATTTATAGCCTTATAGCGTCATTTTAAGGGTATATAGCATGTAATAAGGAAAAGGCATGCTAGAATCACTCCAAAAGGTGATTTAATAGGATACAGGTATATTGCCTAATAGTCTCCAAAATTGAATTCAACTATGAAAACAATAAGGTAATAATCTAAAGCAATTTTGAGTTATTCTAATAGCACCAAGTACGCAAAATAAAAAGGGGCCAAAATGCTTTCAAACCCAGATTTAGCATCTATTGCAAACTATGATTATTACTACCTAATCCATCCAGAAAACCAACCCAGCTTGTTTACAATTCTGTCAGCAAGTAGATTGCAAAACATGCCTGTGAGGCTAGAGGCCAAACAAAGGGCACGTGAGACCGAAGGCCAAACCAAGCAATCTACACCTCTGACACATATACTAGTCGAATGATGGTATATCGGTAAAGAATCACTAGCCCGATTCTTTATTGATTCTTTATTGATTGTACCACTACAACATCCCAATAATTATTTTCGATTCCATGCTGATTAATGTTTAAATTCTGGACAATATCGGTAAACTATATTTCACAAATATTGTGAAGAACTGGACTACCAATCGGATAAATATTGTGCAAATATCAAAACTGATAGTTCCTTCTTTCATATCTGATATTTAAATTATTATTTATTGATATTTTAACGTTTTAATGCTGAAAGTTATATTATGCTTTTATTTATATATATGCATCATACTTATTATACACTAGTCGAACGATATCAAATCGGGAACCAATTAGGTAACCGAATTCCACCTGATTGGTCCCTATTTTTTAAAAAATTTTTATCAATCGGTAAACCTAATTGCTGCCAAAAGATGGCGCAAAAGAAGGATACTCGGGTACCAATCGGGATATTCAATAGAGTATTAATTCATGATTCGTGTAACAATCAGAGAAAATCATGTGATTTAATTAGTGTTGATTGGGGATAAGAACATATATCGTTTTATATAATAAACAGAAAACCGTTAGAATCTCTCTTGCGTTACCCAATACAACCATGTAAACTTTTTTGCGTTACTTGTTATTACTCTACAAATATGACAAAAGATAAAAATTATGATGTTTCCTTAGTTTCTGTGGGAACTATTGATTCAGAATTACACTTCAGACCTTTTTCGTATGAATGGTGGATAGTTTGCAATCAAGAAATAGAATTTCTGGTTCCTATTCGTCTGCATATGAAAGTAGTAACCCATTTAAGTGAACATGACTTTATTTTAACAGTGGTGAAAGGTAATAGGGAACATTTTGAACAGCCAGAGTACATTTGCACTTGTGAATCTTTTTATACTACTGAGCCGAGTATTTCTAGTTCCAACGCGATATCTACAGTTTATCAACAAATGTTTCATACTAAAACCAGATTTTCAGGTCCTATGATAATGGGCTTTGACAAGCCAGATATTTGTAAAAAATTATTAGAAGGAGTTTTATTTCGTCCATATTTTGTTAATTTTGAGCTGGTACGCGTTTTTGTATTTGGGATTGCGAGATCTGAAAATGATCAATGGGGATATGCTGGAGTTGAATTTAAATCAAGTTTTTTGTTTTATTTGGCAAAGGAGCATTGTTTATTTCTTCAAGAATTGAAGAAGATGTATGTAAAGTAACAATAATATACAAAATGGAAGTTGAAAAAATATATTGTGCAAGCACACCTAATCTTGTATGGGAAAGAATTTTTAGCGAATAAGGAACAAAAGTTGCCAAATTAAAAACATTTACTGGAAGAATGCTATTTGGAATTGAAAACACTATAACACAACGATTGATTCAGACTCTAAAAATTCTTTCTTGTTCATTGAGCGATTGGAATAATGATGTGCTTATGGAAGAAGTTTATTCTTATCATCTCAAGCGACGAACTATTAGTAATGTTGATTGGTGCAAGTTTCTAAACAAGTGGAAGAGGCAGGGAACGATAATTGAATTGCATAGTAATCTAAAACAATTATATCCTTTAGATCATAAATTTAGCGAATGTGAACTAAATGTATGGAGAATAATGCTTCGCAATATAGGATGTCATGATGTAACACCTTTTTCAAAACAGGATTTAAAGGTAAATATAAATAATAGTTCATCTGTAAAAAAAAAAAAAAATTCTAATTATTGTATATAATTATTATAGTATGAATTTTGGACGAGATCATTGAATCATAATATTGAAAAAAATGTATTGAAACAGCTATACGAATTTGGCTTTTTGATGTCACAACCAGTAAACTTTTATGACGTATCCAACACATTTTGGAATTGCTTTCAAGAAAGCCTAACAACCAATAAAAAAGGAGATGATGGAAAACAAAGGATACTACAGTATCTATTATAGCAAATGATTTCAAATATGAAGAACTTCAAAAGCAATTATCGGTATGAATTAATAAAGTAGTTGATTTCTAACCTTATAATTGTTTTTCTAAATTATTCTATATTACTAGGTTTCAAATGATTTGATATCAAAGGCATGTATACACTGTCATCTTAATGGGCCTGGTAGTTCTTCAATGAAAAAACCTTCTTTTACGCGTGAAAAGCTACCTAGTAAAAAATTGCAAGAATTTGAAAAATTTATCAATGACAAAGCACATGTAGTTATGAGTTCATATAAAACAGATAGTAAAACTGGTGCACCAATAAAATACCTTTGTGATACCAAACAAGCCCTCTGGAAAAAATTTCATGCTGAATTTCCTAACGGAATTCATCGTACAACCTTTAAGACAAAATTACAAGGAAATGAATATATATATCGAGAAGATCTAGGCTGACTTTGTTCAACTTGTAGCCGGTATGGATATGAAATATTTGTTGATATTAGAAAGCTTATTGAAAATAAGTTTATAGACAGCGTAAAAAAGGTACTTAGCTAATAAAATTCTTGTTTTTAAAGATAATTTGCTTAAACATATCATTTATTTTTTTTTTAGAAAGAATTTCTTGATGAATTGGAACAGTTACAACGATTTTTGAAGCGAGATTATGAAAAAAATCTGATTTTTAATAATAAAGGAATAACAGAGCATAATCCTTGTATTAGTTATTGTTTACTATGGGCATTTGGAGTTTGTACAGAACAACATATACATGCATCTCAAGAATGTGCCAAATTATTTACCTTTTTTAATCGTCTTAAAAATCAGCTATCAACAGATTTACACGAAGATCTTGATGAATATCAAAACCATTTGTTATATTATCTTGCACATCAAGTCCGTAAAGTTTATTTGAATGCCCAATTTAATGCTAATCTACTGGATTTGGATGAGAATGGCTCTGTATTAGTAGTTGATTACAAAATGAAAATACTTCCAAAAAGTGCCAGAGAAACAAAAGCAGAATTTTTTGGAAAGAAAGGTTGGACTTTACATACAATTCTTATGTATACAAAAAAGTCCGGACATCAAGAACTTGATATTCATGCTTACGATCATTGGTCAATGGATTCGCTTCAGGACTCTTGGTTTACAGCTTCATCCCTCCATGCTGTCATTGAATCACTGGAAAATAATCCAAAGTGGATCACAATTATTTCAGATAATGGTCCTCATTATCATAATGCTGACCTAATTATGATTTTGGGAAATTTGTTAGAATGGTATCAAATAAATGTAAAGAAATGGATATTCTTAGAGGTATGTGAAGTAAAAATGACTATTGACAGTCATCATGTACAGGTACTAATAAAATAAAATAAAATAAGTGATCTGCCATTTACCTATATAATAAGTGTCGACATTTTAGATTACCCATGCAATCAAACGTCAAGTACGTCTTGGATTAGATATAATGGAAGGTGCTGATTTTGAAACAGCAATTAGAGATATTTTCTGAACTTCTGTTGCACATTTAGAACCAAATCGAACAAAAGGTGAGATTAAATCAAACAAAATAATCAAAGAATATTTTATTTTTCTGACTTACTTTAGACCAAAATAAGAGAGCCAAGAATACTCTTTCTGGTAATTCTAATTTATTTGAATGGACTTGGCCGGGAGAAGGATCAATGTCGGGTTATATTCTTGGTTGAGAGATTCCTAATGTTGGAGAATGGACAAATTTTTCACCGGCACAGATATCTAATTTGCAGAAAAAAAAAATTGAAATTCCAGAACCTACGTCATCAACTCATACGACTCCCAAAAATGAATGGGTGATTGCTATGCCAAATATTTCAGGTGCGTTACCTCTTCAGCTTTTGTGAATATTATCTATTCCACATTTTGTCTCCGATTTAGGTATTGATTCTAAAAGATTGATAAGAGAACGATTATTATTTGAATTGAAAAAACGAAATATCAATGTCATCAACACCGCTAAAAGAGACGGGTTGGTTAAGGAATTAGAACTTGGCTTGGCTAATGAAACAGAAATGATACAAGATGATAAGAAAAGAATTTATAAAAAAAAAAAATATTGAAACAAAATGCTAATTACTATTTATTTGGAAAAAGATATTTCCGAAAATCAAGAAAATCAAAATATTATATGGTAAGTATATTTATTCTGAACACGTATTAGTTATTTGCTAATTAGAGACTTACCGTTCAATAGGAATTCTACTTATGAGTTTCCCTTGAAGTCTGGATGGGCGTTAACACAGGTCGAAAAGTGAAAAATCAGGCACCAATCGGTCACCAATNTCATCAACTCATACGACTCCCAAAAATGAATGGGTGATTGCTATGCCAAATATTTCAGGTGCGTTACCTCTTCAGCTTTTGTGAATATTATCTATCCCACATTTTGTCTCCGATTTAGGTATTGATCCTAAAAGATTAACAAGAGAACGATTATTATTTGAATTGAAAAAACGAAATATCAATGTCATCAACACCGCTAAAAGAGATGGGTTGGTTAAGGAATTAGAACTTGGCTTGGCTAATGAAACAGAAATGATACAAGATGGTAAGAAAAGAATTTATAAAAAAAAAAAATATTGAAACAAAATGCTAATTACTATTTGTTTGGAAAAAGATATTTCCGAAAATCAAGAAAATCAAAATATTATATGGTAAGTATACTTATTCTGAACACGTATTAGTTATTTGCTAATTAGAGATTTACCGTTCAATAGGAATTCTACTTATGAGTTTCCCTTGGAGTCTGGATGGGCGTTAAAAAGCAAGCAAAAATATGGTAAAAAAGGAGGTGGAAAACGTATATCTAAAAGAGTATGGAAACTTTTAGAAGAATATTTTTTGGAAGGGGATGTTGATAAAAGTAAAAGATTTACCGCTACTATTATGCTAGAAAATCTCAGAAATAAAGTTGAAGAAAGAGAGTTGGATGAAGAAGAAATACCAAAACTACAAACTATTCAAGGCTGGATATCTCGTTATTCAGCACAACATCGCCAAAAAATGGCAGAAATATCTTTGGTACGTTAGAAGGGGACCGAGTTCATAATAAAAATAAATAAATTTATAAAGAAATAATAAAATAACATGAAATAATAATATAAAAAACTGTTTGGTAAAAGAATATATAAAAATATTATAAAAATTGTAAAATCTAAAATTTGCCATTATTGAAATCGCAAGTTCAAGTTATCTTGGAATCAGCCTTTCCCTCAAACTAAAGTTGTTAGAAATATTTATCAAAACATCGATAAAGTAGAAATTAGATAATGTTACGTCATGATGATTATAACAATTAATAAATTAGTTGTGTAACTATGACTAGTGATCCTTTAATAAATGCGTCAAAAATGCCAATTTTTCATAAAGACTATTTGATCTACAAAAATTTACCCCGATTTAGTATAGTAATTTTCTCCGGTTGTTACACGAATCACGAATTAATAGTTACCAATAAAATATTTACTATTTGACATATCAGTATACCGATTTATAGCTTTTTGATAAATTTATAACAATAAGAAATCTTTTGATTGCCATACATTTTTATTTAAAAATTTACGAAAATTTACGATTTTATTTAAAATATTTAAAATATTTAATATACAGTCAACTCCCTCTATAGTCACTCCCGTTATAGTCACATTCTACTATATAGTCACACCAGTTGAATGTTCAAAACACTTTATTATTAAAATCTATCTTATATATTCACAATCTATCTATAGTCACTATCACACCTATCCTCAAAAATCTTATATTAAAAAGAACCGTTTATAATCACAGTTATATAAAGAATATATTAAATAACTTGGCATCTAATAATCGTACAAAGATATATCATAGCTTGTTAGAATCGTCTCACTGAGACGAATCGAATGGTAGTAGTTTTATCCTTTTCCTTTACTAGTGTTTACGGCTAGACCACCCATTGCCTCTTTTTGAGATTAATTTTGGGTCTGTGTTCTATCATCTTTATTGGGTAACCATTATACCAAGTACTTAATTCCTCAGGTAACAGCATCACTATAGAAGACATCTTCCATCGGGCTACTTTAGGCTGATCTAAAGCTAGGTACACGCCGTCTACTCATCCTATACCCATTGCATGATACTGGTATTCAATTTATTTTACGACCTTTAGAGAGCACCTACTTTCATGGAGGACTTTCAACAGGTAACATCAACCATCTAGTACTCTTCCATACCACCATTTTAGGTACTAAGTCTCACTCAAAGGCCACTACAGCTTGCGATTACCTAGCACCGATAGTACAGTTGTTTTTACCCCAAGTGGCATACTTTGTAGTGACCACTTGGACAGGAAGTAGCAGGCATCTGTCCAAGATCACCTTTTATGGTGGGTATCAACCACCAGGGATTACCAACCAGGACCCAAGGAGTAGGAAATCGAACCCCATAGCCATGCTACCTGTTCTGTGCACAAACACCTTGGTTGGTATAAGACCTAATAGAAGGTCTAACTACCACTAAGACATTGCACCCTCATCTTTACCATCTAGGACAACTATCTAGCCATTACTGACCCCAAGTGGTATCGTGGAGTGACTACCCAGACAGGAAGTCCCCCCAAGGTATAGTAGTGACTTCAAGAACAGGACTGCGCACATGCCAATGGCCTCATAGGGAACGTTAGAAGGACACCATGACCTTTAGTTGAAATGTGCGGCCTAACTGTACACACTAATTCACCATGATGCAGTTCAACTACACTAATCCCTGTACCTTTACGCTATTGGTTGTAGCGTCCGCAGTAAAATTCTTTTTATTTCTATGGTCATGGGAATCGAACCTGTGATCTCACCATACTCAGGCTTAATGAGGGTCTCAGTGACTAACCACTGAGATAGGGTGACCAACCACAGTTTTGTCCTTTTCCTTTGCTAGTGTTTACGGCCAGACTACCCATTGCCTCTTATGAGACTAATCTCAGGTCTGTGTTCTATCATCTTCACTGGGCAACCATTATACTGAGTACTTAATTCCTCAGGTAACAGCACCACTATAGAAGACATCCCCCATCGGGCCATTTTAGGCTGATCTGAAGCTAGGTACACGCTGCCTATTCATCCTTAATCTATTGCATGATACTGGTACTCAATTTATTTTACGATCTTTAGAGAAGTAAATAGATTAAGTAGACATCACTATATATATAGTGATGTTTACTTAATCTATCTACTTATACCATAGGTATGCCTACTTATAGATATTGATGCATACTTACTTATTTTTACGTGTCTATGCTTCTTCTGATGCTTTATTGCTACCCATCTGTTTTCACTGGTCTGTGACTGTTTGGTTGCTTTATAGATATTTGCTTGATTTTATTGTTCTGCCATCTTTTTACTGCCTTGTAACTATTTGCTTGTTTTCATTGCTCTGTAGCCTTTTTGTGGCCAAAATGCTTGGCCGGCCTTGATTGCTAAAAATTATGTTGTGATCAGGTGGCGCAGTAAATTTGCAGTTCAGATTTTGGCCAGCTCTATACCATAATTTCGGCCGATCTTTGGAAATTAGCACCATGGTAGCGTCCTGGTAGCATAGCGAACATGCTCATATCACCTTGCCGATCATTTACTGATCACTAATTCCAGATTTTAAAAACTTATTGCAAAATCACAAATATTTTTCAAATAATGTGGCAAAAAAATAATGGAATCTAAGTAAAAACACTAAATTATTATATGATTTTAATTATATAATTATTAGCACAATTTTTAATAATATTATAAATATATTATTTTTTTATGATAATTCACTAATTATTGTCGATCATCAGACAAAAATTAAAGTGCGAAGATGAATATGCGAGTGCGAAACTTAAGAATTTGCACAAATATTCTTTATATTATGTAGAATCTATAAAAAAAATAATGCAGTGATCTGATTCATAATGCAGGTTTTTTATTAGTAACATAATTAGTGAATAAATTCGTAAAATGAATAAATATGGGTTCTTTGCTAGGAAAATGAGGTTCTGAAATTTGTTTATAAAAATTGAGATTTTTGTTTTATATGAATATATAATACATAAACTTTATGTAATTAAATTTTTGTAACATATTATCTTATTACCGGAACGAGCAATTTGATTTTCAATTTTTGTGTAACGATTAGTACCAAAATCTAAAAATAGATTCAGAAATGATCGGCATATGGTGCGTTTCACCTATAAACCACAAAGTCCGAAATTTCAAAAACGTAGATTTCACGTGACTTAGCGTGATATCATGTGACTTCGTCATATGATTACGAATCGAGTTTCAAAACAAATTGCAATCGCGCAGTTTATTCAACTTTATTTAACTCAACTAAAACATAATCTGGAATACAACGGTGGGATTTATACTTTTTGGCTGCATATTCAGCCAATTTACCTGTTATTCCATTTCTATATAAATCCATATAACGCCACGCCTTCCTTGCAAATTTTCTTATCATAATCGTATCGACAGACTCTAAAGCTACAGGAACAACACGTTGCAAGCTTGACCACGAATAGTCACAGTTTTCGCGAGCATATCTTTTCGCTGCCCCCCAATATCTTTCAATAAAGTTAAGTTCACAATGGAACTTTGGGTAGAAAATGCACAAGTGCCCAGCTTCTAGTATTGCTTCCTCTAACGCACTTTTTTGTGCCAAAAAATCAGGTTGCAATGAAATAATCCGGCGTGCACAACAATCAATCCGTGTTATATCATCCACCTTATCTTTACACAACTGACAGTCGGCATTAAGGCCATTTTTCCATAAGCCACGTTCAATTAAAACTTGTTTCATCCCTTTGGGTTCCCCATTTTCGTTTACCATTGATTGGTACTGATTGTTTAATCCAAAAACCGTGTTCCTCATTTTTGGCTGTTTTCCGCCCGGTTTTAAGTTCATTTTACTGGCTACAAGAGCATCATGCCTAAATGCTGCGTGGTTCGAACTATTATCAAATGCAAACAATCCAATACAATTAGGAAAAAGAGTTTCGAAAATAGGGATTGCTTTTGTCTTTACTTGATCGATTAGGTGTTCACTTGTCCAATATCCTTCTCGATCTTTGCCTGGCTGAAGATAAGTGCGCGCTTCTTGAGGTATGGAAGAGTTTTCTTGATGCTGTTGTGCATTTAATTTAAGACGGCCACATTCTTCTGACAAAAATTCGCTAACCATTATCGAACGTCCATTTCCCTTTTTACGCAATGGCAATTCTCCTGTTTTTGTCCATACACCTCGTTTCCCATCATTAGAGTAAAATATACACTCATCATGTGTTACAAGGATTATCTCTTTATTATTAGATTCTAACATTGGTGGTATTCGTTCCATAGTTTCACCTTCATACTTCGCCATGTACCTTTCATAACTATAAATTTTATCCAGAAATAACTTTCGATATTCAACAACATCAGGACGTTCATGACCATCATAGTATGTACCTTAATATAAATAATGTGTGATTGTTTTTTTTGTATAATACTGTATTAACGAATTCTTACCTTGTTTTTGTGATTGAAAGCTATAGCCAAGTACATTTAACCATCGAGTTGCAGTTGCTTTGGCGATAGTTTTCTTTTTCGTTATTCCAGAATTAATGAGCAATTTTTGCTCAACAAATTCCTTAAACTTCAATGGGGTGGTTGTTCCGCCTTGAGATCGAATCCATGTGTGACATTTCACTGCTATATCCTCATCATCTATTAATCGTATTGTTTTTTGATGTTTCCCTTGACGACTCATTGGAAGGTGATTATTCTGAAGCCAAAAATTCGCCCAATATTGAATTGATCTTGCTCTGTTTGGTGCACAATCTATAAAAATCAACTGCGCAGCTTCTTTGCTAGCTTTCATCTTCCCCTTTCCATTTTCATCTAATCTCTTTAAATACTCATATATTGCGCGTTTTTTATTATATTCAGTTACTGTTAAAATCTTTTGCTGTTCTCCAAGTTCAGTCTTTAGATTTTTGATTCTTTCATCTATATTGAGTTGATTCTGTTCCTCTTCATCCAAATCATCCAAAACTTCTACAAAATCATCCGGAATTGTCTGATTTCTATTCATGAAAGTTGAAATTTTCATGGTTCTTTTTGCAGCTTTTGTAAAGGAACCACTTGGTCCATACTTGTCAAAATATGTTGATTTTTTTATTTTTCCGGTAAGATATGGTCCACGTTTTTTTTGTTCCAAGTGTGTGTTATCTGACCAAGTCAACTCAAGAGCTTTTTTTTCGTTTAATAAACTAACTTCATCATCATCCCACCCACTATCATTTTCGTCTCCCCATTCATCCAATTCATCAGATATCCTTGATTTTTTTGTAAACGTTCCATAGTTGTTTCTTTCTTGCTCTTTAGCCTTGGATTTTCGCTTTGATGGACGAGTCATTGATTAATGTGTGAGAAATTAATTGAAATCGGTAATTTTCATATGAAATTCGCGTAACATTAGGTTGGATATATCCTGATCTTGTAACGATATATTCCGATCTATGAAATTCACATGATGATATATCCCCGATCTCAGTCCGAAATTTTCCTTTTTTCATATAGATCATATAAATTATTCTTGAACTTTCGAACTTAATAAAATTAAATTTTTCTAATAAATCTTAAAAAGTAAACCGTTAGAAATGTTTAGCTTATGCTATTATATTATTTTATCGGTTTCAATTTGTATTTTATTACTTAATACCTGACTTATAAAAATTTAAAGTCACATGATATTTTTGTGGTTTATAGGTGAGACGCACCATA